TTCCTTCCTTTTCTTTTTCTTCCTTTTCCTTCCTTCCTTCCTTCCTTCCTTTTCTTTTTCTTCCTTTTCCTTCCCTCTTCGTTCTCCTTTCTTCTTCCCCCACTTTCCTTCTTTTTCCTTCCTTGCTCTCTTCCCATCTTTCCTCCTCCTTCTTTATCTTCCCCTTCCTCCTTTCATCTTCCCTGCTTGCATGTTCAAATGCAGAAGGGGAAACATTTCTGCTTTTTCTTTTCTTTTTAGTTTGTTTTGCTAGCGCCCCCCCCCCCCTTTCCCCCGTTCCGTTTTCAGCCCTGCAGGCCTGATCTAAGCACCCCACGTTCCTTGAGTTGGATACCCCTGTTCTAGAGTGTAACTCTTTTGCCTACGAATAATAAGCAACTGTATGTGTTTATACTGTGTGTTTCCTCGAAAAATAAGACAGGGTCTTATTTTCTTTTGACCCCCGAAATAAGCACTTGGCCTTATTTTTGGGGAGGTCTTATTATTTTTGAGGTGCAGGAGGTCCGTGGTCACCTCATGGCTGCTGCTGTGTTGCAGTATTTTCAGGGAGGGCTTATTTTCGGGGGAGGGCTTATTTTGGGGAGTGTGTGTGTGTGTGTGTGTAGGTCCGAATTAGCCATGCGTTTTGTTGTTGCTGTTTTGAAACAGGTGACATCCGACGCCACTAATCATTTCAGTGAGAATGCCATAAAACAGAGAACCCTAGAGAGATTAACCCTCCAAGGCCTAGAGCGAGAGAGAAAGAGAGAGGAGAACAGAGGGAGAAAAGGGACGGAAAGGTGAGGACCTTAAATCATTGCCTTTCGTTATCAAATAATTCGTGTTAATCGTTCTTTTATTGGAAGGGAAAACACAGTGTGTGGGCGAAATTTGACTGAAAAGGCCAAATCACGTTGGACCTCCCTGCATTTCAAACTGTGGACCAAGAGCATCGACATATTTTTTTGGGGGGGTGGGAAAGTTGGTCTTTTTAGACCAAGGACAAGCGGGTAGTCCTTGACTTATAACGATCCGTTTAGTGACCAAGTTTCAATGACCACGAAAAATGCGAGTCTTCCCCAATCCTCACATGCGTTTGCAATGGGAGTTCCAGCTTTCAACCATTCGTCACCTCCCGCAGCTGCCTTCTCTCCAGCAAAGTCAACAGGGGGAAGCCAGCTTTGCTTAACGAACCTTGTGATTCACTTAACAACGGGTCGTTAACACAAGATGTGGCTCGTTCAGCAGCAACCTTGCTTTAGCGACAGAAATTCTGACCCCCCCCCACAATTACGATTCTACGTCGAGGGCCGTCCTATTTTTCCATAATTTGTTTTGGGTTGGCTAGCGAAGACACCAGCGGATCAATTCCATCACGTTCCTTCAAAACAGGCTGCTAATTCCTGGAAATCTTACTCAGGACGCTGACTCGCCTCCTGAGATTTCAGCAAATGTTTTTCCCCGCCATCCCACATATATTATTTATCGTGTGAGTTTGTACTCTCGCTGCTAAATACTAGTAGTGGCCAAAACCTTTTGGGAAAAGTATACAGTGTTTTTGAGGTTTGATGGCTAATAACGCTGCTTTTTTGGGGGGGGGGGGAGTAATACCATAAAATTATAGATCAATGGAAAGATAATTTAATCAATAACGCCATGCAATAACTTTTATGAGACATAAAAGTGGCTTTTTCATGCAATTCTAGATCTCAGGCCAAAATCCTGCAGTCTGCACTCAACTTCACATTGCATTGCGCCATTTCATCTTGTATACACCCAGATGGTTTTCTTCTGCTACGTAGGCACAGTGTCTTAATTCTTCTATCACAACTTGCTGTTGTGCACCTTTTCCTGCACAACCCTGTGTGGTTTTGTAGTGACTGAGTCTCCTTATACCTCTTCAAAAACTTAGAAATGCCACCTTTGGTTTAAGTTTCCACCATTTTGTCTTTTAATTTCTTTTATAACTCTAGCCTTGTTCACTTAATAATACTATTTTACNGGCGGTTCCCGACTGCGTCCATCTGGAAGGCCTGCCCTGCAAGTGGTTCGCCCCCAAAGGTTCGGAGAGCGAGACCCCCAGCGAGGAGGTCTTGAGGACGGTCTTTGGCGCTTTCGGGACGATCAGGAATGTGGACATCCCCATGCTGGACCCCTACAGGGAAGAAACGGTGGGGAGGAGCAGGAACCACTTCGTTTTCCGCGGGATGAGGTCCTTCGAGGCCTTTGTCCAGTATCAAGAGTCCGAATCGTTCTCCCGAGCCATGGAGACCCTGAAGGGCATGAAGCTGATGTTCAAGGCCGACGACGGCAAAGCTCTCGCCTGTAACATTAAGGTAAGGCGCCGTGCCCTCGCGGGGACATTCGGTAAGCCAGGATTCACACACACAAAACAAGAAACCCAAACTAGGCCAGAAATGGTGATCGATCGAGTCTGGAATTGGTCGATCCGAGAGTGCTCATCCGCTCTGCTTCTTCTCCGACGTGGCGCTTTTTATGACCGTTTCGCCAAAAACTAGGATGGACTTCCAATTTTTTGCCAAAACAATGTCCAAAGCCAAAGCAGGGGTTCGCTTAACGTCTTTGGCATCTGCTTCATGGCTGCTGCAAAAATGGTCATTGGGTCGGGCGGGAGGGAGATCTGATTTAAGGCTGTCCCGTTAACGATTTTGATGGGTAGGTCCCATGACCGTCATAACTCGAGTGTGACTTCCGGTATTTTTCTGTATTTCGTTCTAGAGCAGGGGCGTCAAACTCGATTTCATTGAGGGCCGCATCAGGGCTGTATTTGACCTCAGAGGGGCGTGGCTGTGGGGGGGGCGTGGCCGTGGGGGGCATGGCCATGGGGGGCATGGCCATGGGGGGCGTAGCCAGGTCGACGTCACTCATGTTGGGCACGCCTTTGGTGGCCAAGTGCTAAGGTAGAACTTTCCTTCCTTCCTTCCTTCCTTCCTTCCTTCCTTCCTTCCTTCCTTCCTTCCTTCCTTCCTTCCTTTTCTTTTTCTTCCTTTTCCTTCCTTCCTTCCTTCCTTCCTTTTCTTTTTCTTCCTTTTCCTTCCCTC